CGGTTCGAGACTACGTTCTTAGGCCGTCCATCGGTAGGACAAATCTCCAAGCCTAATTTCTATTTACTGAAGTTGGAAAAGCTAGTAGCTAGATTAGGAGCCCGCCATGCTGGGCCCATTCTCCCCCACACCCACACCCACACAACACATACTCAATCACACTCGACATGCGAGGTTGACTTATCATCAAGGGGGTGAGTGGGTGTGGGAATGGAAGGATGGCCATGCAGCAGCAGCAGCAGTAGCTTCTTGGGGCTTTTGACCGTCTCGGTTGGCTCAATTGAACGGCTTCTCTTTTTAAGACACGCTATCCAACTAGTCCGGAAAGGGCCCGTTGTTGCATTCGTTTCGAATCCTGGACCGACAGAACTCAGCTCCTCTCGGCACTGCATGATTTGACAGGGAATATACGACCGTAGAATCTCGGGAGAATGCTGCATGATGGGGGGGAAGACATAACGCATAGCCTAGTTAGTAGACAGTTGTAGTCGTATCGTACTAATGCAATTTGATCTGTGTATTTGATGAATACTAAGAGGCGGATTGCTGTATATACTTGGATAGAGGGATATTGTGCCTCTTCTCAGGCATTCGGGCCTGTCCGGTAGCTACTTACTATCTCTGGCAGATCGATATGGAACCACATGGTCGTCGAGATTGGTGGACCAACCGGGGGAGAAGAGCAAGAGAGGGGGGGGCTGGCTGGCTTGGTCTAGCTAGCACTGCCTGATATCATGGATCCTGTTTAACCCTCCGTGGCCGCGCCTCCCACTCTCGCTTTCGCTCTCTCGGCCATATCGGTCATCGGGGTCCGCCAAAACAGCCTCACGCCTTTTCCTTCCCTCCCCCTCCCCCTTCCCTAGGATTCCCTCTAGTCCACACCGGGCATTAGTGACGCAGCCCTGCACATCCGCCAATCCATTCGGGAAAAGTTCCCTACCAACACATGGTCAAGCCATGCATACCCTGCAAGTCTCCAGCCATTCCCAATTTGATTATTACCTTTATTTTCTTTTTCTTTTTTTTATTCTTCCTTAATTCAATATTATCCTTTTGGGTTTGGGAAAAATAAAAATAATTATTACCCATAATAATTTAATTCGAAAAAGGAAAATGTCAATTATAATAAATTCTTCGGAGCACGGACTAACGCTGCTATCGCAACGGTTCAATCGACCATCACGGACGGGCTGCTTTCATTCGGACCCGGGGCTTAGCAGGCATAAGCTACAGACCTGTTCTCCAGCTGATCGACCCATGGCTTAGTTTTAAATACTGAACGCATCCTGTGTCTTTTCTTTTGAGTTTCAGATGTTGATCATCCTTGACTCGTGACTCTCACTTGGATTCAATATCTATATAGTCAATCCCAGATCCTCTCTCTGGCTCCTCATCTTCTTTCAACTTCATCTTCCTCTGATATCATCATCAGTCCAACTGCTTTCCACTTTCTACTACTACTTGTATATCTCTGCTTTTTGTGAACAAGAGCTTTGATCTATATATACCATCAACCCCCTCTATTATACTTCAATCCAAGATGCATCGGTCTTCCAATTACTCATATCAACAAACCTCGAGCTCGAGGAGCTCCAACCACGGCACCAGCAGCGCTTTCAGTCCTAATGCCAACCCCAATGAGGACTGGACCAAGATCTCAGACCTTGCAGAGCGTCGCCGGATACAGAATCGCATTGCTCAGAGAAACTACCGTAAGTTATCCTGCTCGCCGCTTGATTGTCTATGTTGCGACACAAGGCTGACTGAATGCGATAATAGGCAAGAAGCTAAAGCGCCGCCTCGAAGACTTGGAGAAGAGAGCCGCAACTGCTTCGACATCTCCAGAACGGTCACACGAGGGTTCGGAGTCGCCGAAGGCGGTGGTGCACACTGTCAAGTCCCGCACCAAACAGGCTCGCACAACCAAGTCTAGCTCAGATGCAACCCGTCACACCTCCGCGCAACGAGGCTCTTCCTATGACAGCCACTCCACCCAGGAAGATCGCGGATCGTCGATGTTCTCCCAGCAATGCACTCGACAGCTCTCAGCCTCGCCGCCTCCCGTGTTCTCTTACCCCTCATACTCCCACTTGGAATCCTATGGTCACCATTCGTACGGACAGCCACCTTCCTACCACTCTCTCAACAACCACTACAATGATCTGCCATACGGAGAGTACGGAACAACGCTGCCTTCGATCCTGCCTGGTCCGATACTCGGATCGGGCGCAAAGAAGCACCACTCGTACGCCGATGACGAGATTGTCAGCCCCTTCAGTATGAGCTATGCATCCATGGCTGGCATTGATCTGGGTCCGACACCGCAACACCTTCCAGAGCACAACATTCCTGTACATGCCCCTCTCTCTACCTGATGCCGGTCTGTGCAAGAAATACCAGGGTTAGCGGAGCTAATGCCGTCTTTCAGATGCCACCTTTGTCTTCAGTCTACAGCGATGATCATTCCTCCCCTTCCACCCCAGCAGAGCCTCTCCTAGGTTGTCCTCTTACACCGAAGTCGGACCCGTGTTCCCCCCACTCATACTCGCTGTTCTGATTTGATGTTGATTTTTACTGAAGGCTAGCGGTGGTACTTTGTCTTCCTCTTCTTATTTCTTTTTCCCTTCTTATCTTTTCCCTAGATTCACCCCACTCTTGCCCGCTTTAATGACAGTTATGATGTATTATCGAGTCAAGGTTGGATGTAACCGCATGATTCACCTTTTTGATTTCTATGTTTCTTTTGTTTGCGATTGATGAATTTGTTTCCTTTGTGAGCATCTTTCTCTTCTTCTCTTTATTATTCCCCCCCAGAGGAATATTTTGTGGACTGCGCTCCAGAAAGGACCCCACCCCGGGTCCCGCGCATTGCTTTGAGGTTTATTTGATTTGTGCAAGCCGATAGATGCATGTTTTGCGGCGTTTATGATGAAATGGAGGGGGGGGGTGGGGTGGAACAAGGCTACAGGTGTATGCGTGTGTGGGAAATTGGCTATTATTGGGAAAGCAATTGTTCCTTTTTTTTTTTTTTTTTTTCTTCTCATTTCTTTCTTTTCCTTACCGACCGATCAATCCGTCCGTCCGTGTGTTTCAAAAGATAGATTACCATACTTTTCTGAATCGAGTCTGGCTTCAACCAAGCCGTGTTGCTATGCAATGCCACTATCCTCCATCTAGAAATTCCTCGAGTTCGAATCGAGCCGAGGCCAGGTCAAGGTCAGGTCAGGTCAGGTCTCAGGCCCGCCAGCGACCCAAAAAGTTACTTTGTCGGCAACTCCACCCATCCCGAAATCCCCGCGCATGTCTCCGGTCCCAAAGTGGGTAACTGCCAACCCAGACCGTGGACGGGGAGGCTTTCGCCTCCCGCCGATGGCTGTGTCTGCTGATTGGTCGGCTCGTATGGCAACCCTGGGGCAGCAGTGGATTTGAACCTAAGGGGGGGTTGCGCTTGGCCCCTTGACACTAAAACCAGTAGGCCCAGTTTTAGTGGCCTAACTTACTGTTTACTTGAAATGGGACAATTAATTCCTTTTCCAGTGAGCAGTTTGTGGTTTACCGGATCCAAACAAGCGTGATTTCACATCCACTGTTGTTAGCTAAGTACTACAAGCTAGCTAGCTATGTTAGTGTACCCTTGGCTCAGTCAGGTAGATTAGTAAGTACGTAGTTAGGCAGTCGAGTCGAGTCGAGTCGAGTCGGGGTATGAGACGATCCCGACGGTGTTTTTTGATTCCCGTGTCCGTTTGTGCATACACGGTCCTGCTCTATCTACCTGTTAACTTACTTGATAATGAAAAAGAAAAGAAAACATACACGGGCTTCTTCAGTCAAACTTAGTTACATCCTCGGCAATTGAACAACTCAAATATGCACAGTAAGTTTAAATAAGTAAATCGAATTGGGGATGTATGCCTCGGCACAGAAACTCAATCAATTCAAATCACACCGTTTTGGGGGCCGTAGTAACTTGCTACTTAGTACTCCGTACATGGTTTTTTAGTCACGGGTTTGCGAGATTTGTTCATCGTGCATACCATACATACATACTACTTACAAACAGTTAGTTAGTTAACTTGGAGGGCATACACAGCCTTGGGGCCATTTCGCAAAATAGTTACCTAGATAGGTAGTTAACCTAGACCCTAGCTAACTAGCCAGTCTACTATGAAGCTACGTATTGAGTTAAATCGCAAGGCTCTCTTCCTGCTCTACGGAGTAGTACTTTGCTCTGTTTGCTCTCTCTCTGTTCATTGTTCGGGCCCGCGGGCCCCATCCATCCATACTTAGTAGTTGAACTAACTGCTCTAAACGAAGGATTAAAAATTCCCGGCGATACGCCGCCTGTCTCAAACCACTTATCTACTACAAACTAGACCAACACTAACTAAATCAGGGACCATGGGCTGGCTACCTACCTAGACTGGCCCCCAGCTAAGATAAGTTGACTGGGTCTCTGTCTTACTTAGGGACACTTCTTTTTGGCTTTCCAGAAAGACACTACTACTACCTAATTATTTTTTTTTCTTCCATGAGGGGAAAGTAAGCATTCTAGATGGTCACTATAGAGGAAGGGCAAGAAAGAGAACAGGGTATGAGGTAAGTTAGGTTGAACAAACAAGCATTAAACGAGTGAAACCCAAACCCAGACCTTCTTCCCCCAGAACCACACCGGAGTTATCCGCTCGGATCTCGGACTTAGGAATTAGGAGATTAGTATACGTCCTACGTAGGATCTTGTTTTCTTGTGTTACGAGACGTTGCTTGCTATGTGCTGGGTAGTTAGGTTCCAGGCGTTTACTCTCTCCCTTGTTTGTTTGCCCGTCTGTCTTGAGGTCAGTGTTAATTCAGCTGGTAGAAAGTTAAGTTAACTAACTTATTAGCTCACGAAGTACGCGAGAACGAGTCGGTAAGTAAGTAAGTACTTACTAAATCAAGGGAAGGGAGAGAGAGAGTAACTAACTACCTAAATACGATGATTGGGTCCGCTAGGGAATGAGTGCTGTGTGAGTGTGCACTGCATCCCCTCCCCCCCCAAAAAACGCCAGGGCCAGAACCCTGTCCCTGCGACAACGCGGCGTGCCCGTCGAACCCGCTTCCGGCCAACCCGCTGTCTTTCTTTTTACTTTTTTCCCTTTTGGTAGGTGAGATGCCGCAGTGCCCCGTCAATCAGTCGCCAACTATGGAGTATTCCGTACTCCATACCTTAACTAACTAATTAATTACTAAAGTGATGTACGAACGACGGGCGGGAAGGGGAAGGGAAGGGCAGGGAAGTTTTGGGAAAAAAAAAAGGCTGGAATGTGGAAATATGAGCGGGAGATCGATGCTGGCCCGACCGGCACCGTCGCTCTCCCTTCCTTAGTTGGTTAGTACATGAGTGAAATAAATAAGATAAAATGGTTCCCTTTTTCGTTCTAAGAATGTACTTCGTACTTAGTGGGGCTCTGCTTTTTGCTGCTGTCTCGCTCGCAAAATCGGCAGCAGGAAGAAGATCAAGAAGGGAAGGGAGAGAGAAAGTTACGAACATGTGTGCTGCTGCTGCTGCTGCGCCTCCACAGCTCCCGGCATGACGTGGTACTTGTCCTACAGGGTTGTAAGTAGTGTGCTTCGATGACTGGTTCTGAGATGTCTCTCGAGTCTAGAGAATTTGTCTTGACCCGCTTGCTGGTGTCTGTCTTTGTCTTTGTCTTGATTTTAGTTAGTTACTATTTACTGCATATGGAGCTTGGATCGAGTGGGTGAGTACCTTTGGAGGGAACAATGAGGTGACGCTAATACGTACTGGCATCTCGATTTCTACTTGGAGATAGATCCTAGCTCAGATTATCAATCAATTCTAAGTGATTTACCAATCAACCATTAGTTAACATTAGTTAGTTATACATCTGACAGTATGTAAGTACTTTGATCATTTTAAGCCTTCCATGTACTCCGTAGCGGCCCGCCCATCTACCTACACCCAACACGGGGGGACAGGTTATACTTTGTACCAAGATATCTGATTTCCTTGGCTTCTGCAGGGTTAGTAGAGTATACATCATTTTACTCCGAATAACGAATCTCTCTTCCCACGGCTCTCTCTCTGAGAATAATAATGAAAGCCGCAAGGCTGCTACTACCAGCAAGCACTCAATACACACATACTACATACATATTCTTGCATCGGACAACCCCGATGCAAATTAATCACTACTTGTACAGCTGTCTGTCAATCAATCAATCAGTCTCTGTCAAATTCAGACCCCTAGCGTCAAGCATCGTACCTACCAGATTCAGTTCTTATTTGCCATGCAAGTCAGTACTTACTTACTGTCCACATGATGTGCTCACCTTAAGGGTTAAGATGCGGATGGCTGGCTGGCCGGTAATTGCCCGGAAGTAAAGCTGTATGGCCAGGATACAAATTACTCATACCCTCCATTTCTTTGTTTGTATACCACAGACATACATGTGAGTGGCGATAGCAGAAAATCAAGAAAAAGAAAGATAAAAAAAAATAAAATGAATGCAACGCTGAGTTATGCAACAGTTACAGCCGCAGAAAATCCAAAGCCAAATCAAATCTAAATCTAAATGTACGTTTGCTCCGCTGCACGCCTTAGGTAGAATTAGAACTAGACCAGACCATGCCCGACAGACAGACAGGCAGGCAGACAGCGTGGCAGACGTTAGATGCATAGAAAGATAGATAGATAGGATAGTAGTATAGTTGAACAAGGCTCATATTTACGAGTCTACTGCAGCCACACATACACATACACACACACAAGACTGGCTTCTGTCTCGGAGTTAAAGAAACGTTACTGTTACTTCTCTTTCGATTATAAATCTAAATCTAAATTATTTGAATGTGATGTGATGTATACTCACCTTCCCGTACTTTTTCTTTTCATTTCCCCAAGTTTTAGTTCTGAGTCTTTGTACAACGTTCAGAAACGGAGTGAATGTTTCGCTGGCACCAACCAACCAAGTGCATCATCTATCGCAATCATCTACGTATCGTATTCATCAATTTTCAAGTCAAGGAGGTAGACAGATAGATGAAGAGGAGGCTCAGAATGACCAGGACCAGGATTATCCACCCTCATCTCTTAGCGTTGCAGCAACCAGGCTAAAGTTGCACGAGGGATGCGCGATGGGCAACAGAATACATCAGAAGCGCCGAACGGCTCGGACGCCAGGGATTTCCGAAAGGGAGAAATCAATCTAGTCTAGTCTCGTCTCGTCTCGTCTAGTCAAGACAAGTCGAGACGAGACGAGAGGCAGTCAAAGGGACCTGACTTGACTTGGTGGGTGGAGTGAGTGAGTGAGGGGTGAGGGGTGAGGGGAAAGGGAAAAGAAATGCATCCATCTCGTATAGGCTGAAAACCCATCCTCCACCCCCTTCCCCCTCACCTCACCTGCCAGTATTGCATTGATTGGGGGAAGGGGAGGGGGGTAGAATTCGTCATGCATGAGTGACACCAGGAGGCTCAAGAGAAAATAAATTAATGCATTGGCAGGCAGTAGTGTAGTATGCAGATACGGAGTCGGACAAGCTGAAATGAACATCGGTGAAATCCGATTCCATCCCCCATAATGTATTTTATTTTCGTACAGTAATTTATTATCAATATCTAAGAGGAAGAGGAAGATGGGAAAGCCTTGTTGATTGGTGGTAAGGCTTGGCTGGATGCCTTGTCTGTTTGAAAGCTGGATGGGGGCCTCATGACTCACGCACTCATGGCACACACAATAGCCAAATAATGAATCCTTCAAGGCAAGTAACTAATTGTGATGGTCTAACTACCCCATACAGATAAGTTATCAGTTGGACGCCTAATTCGCAATAAGTAAACAATCTATTAAAGTTCTCATCGTTTATTTTATTACTATATCTTACTATCTCTTGTTAACGCCACGGAAGGGGACCATAAAAGTTGCATTACAAATAACGATGATAGCTACAATACTGAGTAAGTATATTATGCATCGGACGGACAGAACATCTCTCCGACTCCGATCGGAGGGAGTCAGTCAGTCAGTTAGGTCAGGTCATCACTTTAATTTCCCTCTTTTGTTTTTTGTTTTTCGATTAACCCGTCCAGGGTCTGAAGATTACGCTCGACCGGTCGGTCGGTCGGTCGGCCGGACCGGATGAATACTCCTTTGAACTAGATAAGTTAGTTCCTAGTGAGATTAGTTGATGAGACGGTGCCATTCTAGACTCCTGCTTATTATTATTATGATATTATCCTAATCGTTCTGTGGGACTTGAAATACCACGTGTGATCCTTCGATCCTTTCGTTTCTGCTATCTTTGGTAGTTGCCTAGCCGTTTACATCATGTCTCATAGTAATTTATTTGAGGAGATTTGGTAATATGTGTGATGCGATATAGCTTGAACAGGAAATGGCTAGCGATAGTAGATGTTGGATGCCTATTGTGTTATTGTGCTTGGGGGGCATGAAATGGTTCTTTCACATGCACGATCATACTTGCTAGCTACTAGATTGATAATACTCAAGCAGCTAGACTTGTAGTCATTCTAGACAATAATATTCCTGAATATAGACGCCTTCTACTACTACTACTACTACTACTACTACTACTACTACTGACCCAGGTATATATAGGATCGTGATGGTGGAGAACATATATTTCATGCTCATATATATACTATATACTACTCCGTATATTCCATAGCACCACTCACTAGCTGCATCGGAGATGCTAGGGTAGTATTCTATCATCCATAAGTATACCTTTTTCCTGATCAGGAAGTACCTATCATAGACAAAGAAAACTATTATCTGGCTGCAGGATGTTTGACAGAATGCCGAGTTATGCATGTGCTTATCTATGGGGTGGGTTAGTGGCCGAGTCAGATATGAGTTTGTCATCTTCCCTATATAAGTTACTTACTAAACTAGAGGGTTTGATTATTACACCTACGATCGAGTGTAATGCCTGGTTTGATCTGATGCTATTCCTGTGTTCTATGCTAGGCAACGATGAATAGAATAGATGTAGCCTGATATTGGATTGAATATAGCTGCCTAGTCTGGTGGATTGGGAAGTAGGCATGGACATACGTATGATATACGTGTATTCGGTCTCCAGAATATGGCCGCCTGATGCACATGAACTGTGTGATAATTATTTACGTGATAGCTGATTCCGTATGTGTCTACTGGGTAGGTAATGGAGGGGATAGGAGTCACAGGCTTCGTGGTTTGCTACTGATGGACCAGACCGAGTATCTTTGGAAAACCACAGGCGGAAGAATAGTATATGTTTTTACGAGCCACGATGTTGATCGCGGTTCCAAGTTGCATGTTCAGTCTACATCACGAACTCTACTGCACCTCACTCATCAATTCATACAATCATACTTTATCCATGATTCTCCTCTGTACTGTATTCGAACGTGAATCTGTACGCCAAAGACGAAGAAACTCGACTCAACGACGCCTCGATGCAGGTCAACAGGATGAGCTGAAACGAACAGTGCGAACTCAAGCGAACAAGGTCAATAGACAAGCGTGGTAGAAGTAGTGTATCGGTTTTGCGGGAGATAGTGATGGCCACGAGTAAGAGATAGTGCGGTAGGAAGATAGAGGGTGATGATTCCAAATATTTCACTAGATGGAGCACAGACAGGCAATAGAAGAGATGAAGAGCATAAGAATATATAAGTGAAAAAAGAACAGAAAGGATTAGGAAAGATGTAAAACATCCCTCGAATAGCTATCCCAACAGAAAAAGCACAAAGACCAAGGCGATCCGTTATCCGGCCTCCGCTCCATTGATGCTCATCTGGTTAGGATTGTATCGCCGTCTGCGCATGGGCGCCTTTTTCCTTTTCGCAATGGCGGCACTCTGTGCGCTGCCGGGGGCGCTCCCCATTTCCGTGTCCCCATCATTATCAGCATTATCAGCCTCCCCGTGCAGCGCCTCGTACCGTGCCAGCTCATCCAGTTCCCGAACATCAAGAGGCTTCATCCGCAGCCACTTCATGCGCGGTCCTGAGCGTGAGCGTTCCGACACGCGGAAGCCATAGATTCGGGATTCGTAGATCCGACCCGGTCCAAGACCCGGGCTAAAGTTGACGGTACGCACGCCGTTGATCTCAACAGGCTGGTTGGGAGGAGGCACATCCGGCACCACTTGGTTGTTGATCGAAGAAGATGTCAAGGAGGAGGAGCGGGTCGGTGATAACGCGGCGAGGGAGCTGTCCAGCCGGGGTCCGATATCGAGGTCTGGGAAGGTCATAAAGAACAGGCAACCAAAGGTAGTTCCGAAGAAAGCTCCGTCGACCGAGTGGAACCGACTGTTCGGGGGAGTGTAGAGATCTTGGCAACTAGGGCAGAACAATTTGACCGTCTCTTGGCCAGGCGTGTCGGAACGTCCGACGGGCAGAACCTTGCATCCGTTGCAATAGACTCGCGGGCAGACACCGAAATGTTGCATCTCATACTTCTCAAGCATCTGCTGGATACCGGGCCGTGAAGTGATGTAGCGTTGATGGATCAGTCCGTAAAGCAATTCAGCAGAGCTCTCGATGACGCTCAGATCACTCGCGACTCGTGCATGCCTCCGTTCCCCTGCCCTGCGGTATCCTGGCGGCTTTTCATCTCCTAGAATCTCGTCCTCATCCTCTTCTTCCTCCTCCTCTTCTTCATCTTCCTCGTCCTCCTCGGGTTCCACGTCCAGGATCATTTCCAAGGCCTCCTTGTACATAGGCACCTGCGATTGCAGACCCGTCAGGTTGAAGTCATCTTCGATAAAGTCCTCCGACACTTCCGCAAAGAACTCATGGCCCATCAGGGAGCAGAACGAGGAGATCCAGGACTCCGGGGCCCCTTCCGAAGACGACATGTCGAAGGAGTCGGACGCGGACGACGAAGGCGTCGATTCAGACAGTTGACTCAGATCCAGCCTGTCTAGGCCGTCGGCCAACGCCGAACCTATCTCTCTCGACACGTTGCCGAGCTAGGGGGAGAAACGACTGCGAAATATCTCGTGCGAGATGAAGCGCCGATTAAACCTGCACCAGATGCAATGGGATCTGGTACGAGGTCCCGAAGTCGTGAGCCCTCCTGTGGCAGGAAGGCAAGAATTGGATGGATAAGGTATGATCGGACTGCAGATGACGTCCGCTGTAGGGCTAATAGAATGACAGAGTGGTGATGAATGTCGCGGTCATGACAGTGTGCGGGCGGGCGAGCGGGCGGGCAGATTGTTGTGCGATGAGGGTGTGTTAACGCGACTGAATTGGGTGGGGGGACTCTTCAGCAAACGATGTCTCCCAGAATCACTGACGGCCACAAGACATTAATAGAGATTGATAAAGTTGACCCTTCCAGATGATGGTGGATAAGGATGGATCACAAATCTCCCTGGCTCTTTCTCTCTCTTCCTGAATCGATCGACGGAGGTTGTCGAGGGGCTTCCGAAATTAGGTTCGTGGGGCGGTCGGGAAAGGTGCTCAAACACGAAGAGGGAGCGATAGATAAGGCAGCTAGACGACGGCAGAGTGATGAGTCGGGGCCCAAAAGATAGACAACAGAAAGACCAGATGTCTTCAGATGCAGAGAAGGTGGGTGGCCACACCAACAGCGATTCACAAGTGGAACATGTTTCTGGGATTGGCTTTGGAGGAGGTTGGCGACCGAAAGTCACCCGCCGCTGGCTTTCCCTCCCTCGGTCACGTGGCGATCGACCAGCCTCGACTCCCTGCAGTGTTTCTTCAACTTCTTTACATGGGACAAGACATGGTTATACAGGATAACGACGCTTCATGCTACGATTTGAACAGTCGTGGCTACTGTAGACATAGCCTCATCTTCTAGAACAAGTCTCGGATCACCCGGGACCATTCGCCTTCATCTCCAAGCACTCCTGAGAGCCCCTCTCCCGTGTTCTGGATTTCACCATCATGACCTACAAACCCATTGATTCCCTCGGCCGGTGTCCCGGAAGCCATAAAGTTCCCAAACCCGCCTACTGCCTCAAATAGATTCGTGAGCTCATGGCTCATCTGCAGCCCGTTGAGAGGGCTGTTGCCAAGCTCGCCGATCCCATTCATCGGGCCATACACCGACAAGTCTTCAATTTGGTGGCCAGCTAACCCAGCCATGGCCACCGCTGCACTTGAATGGGGATCATTCGAGTCAGACCCAAAGGGCCGCATAAGCACTCCCAGCCGTTCTCCGATCTTTCGGAGACCTTTGATAGCCTTCCAGAGACGCTTTGACACGTAGGACTTTGTGCTGAACCCGCTGATCAAATTCAGTGCCATGTAGAACTCGTCCCGCACCTGTCGGTTGAACTCTGTCGGTGCATGGCAGACAGCAAGGAAGATGACCGCCAAAGCAGCCACGAGGAAGTAGTTGAAGGTGATCTGTTGGCTGCGGTAAATGTCGGATGTCTGATTGAGTCGAGTGAGCACGCGGATAGTGTCTTTTGCGACGTCCACCACCGTCTGAGCATGGCCCTTATCCTCGGCAATACTTGCTGCGGAGTGCAGGACGGGGCGGTAGATGAGGATTCGGAGCTGATTCATGCGGAGATACAGTAGAACCCTTAGTCGCCTCAGGCCCCGGTTCGTCGACTCCACATGACCATTCTTTGGAGACTCGATCGGATAGAATTTCAAGGCGTCCGGGACCTGTTTATACCACTGCAGGATCTGGTAATCCAGGTAACCTATCTCATCCCGACGTATGTCCGTTGCACCCTCAGAGCCAAGCCCAGAATACCAGATCTTTGAGCTAATGCGATTGTATGATATCATTGATTTCAGATACGGCAACGAAGCATCCTAGGGGGCAATTAGCAGCTGACCAATAAAGTCTTTATTTATGATGTAGCTCACCGGCTCCGGGAGGTTAGGGTCGATGTCTTCATCCTGAATGTTGAAAGGCAGCCCTGTCCCGAGACTCCACCGCCGATCCAGACTGTAGATTGTCCAGAAAGTCTTCACCACGGCAGGCCATTGTTCTTCATCAGGAAACATCTTGTTCAGGGCATCGCGCCGATGCAGACCCATCTCAAGACACATCCGTGCGGCCAGGCCGATGATGCGATAAGCCATGGCATCATCGTCCATGTGAAAATGGAAAGTTGCCTGTCGTTTAATGTGTTAGCGCAACCCCACTGAACAGAGCGATATACCTACAATCATAGCATATATCTGGATTGTCTTGATGTCGAGCGTATCCCAGAGTTTGGATTCAGCTATTGGCTTCACGCTCAGATACAACCGCTGTCCGAGCTCGCTTTGGCCGCCTCCCTCCACGATCAGTGTTATAGCAAGTATCATCTTCAAGAGAACCGTGCTATCATCAGTAAGACCATCAGCACCAGGCAACCCCCGTTGAGCAAACCCCGTGCGTATCGCTGATTCCATGAACGTGTATAGCAGGTTCACTTGCTGGGCGATCTGCTCTATATCTACAAGCGGGTACATGATACCAATCTCCTCTTCGTAGACACGACACAGACGCAGAGCTTCATCTCGCTTGATGGACCATATCGGATCCTTGGTGGGGTGCATCGTGAGAAACGACGGGCCCACATGGGGAGGAGAGCCAGCTGGTGTGACCTGGGCCGTGGTCAAATCGTCTGGTATGACTTCCTCTGGCGGAGCGATACCCATGTTCTGTAGACTAGACCTTGCGACATCGAAGTTAAAAGCAGAGCTGGTAGGTCCCTGGAACCGGGGATGTCTTATGCGTGGTTTGCTCAACGGGGCTTGCATAGGCGTGAACACCGACTGTGAGCCATCACGAGAGAATGCGTCGAAGTTTGGAGAGTCGATGGACGATCTTTGCGACCGAAGATCTTTAAGGTTGGTAAAAAGACTATTTACCTGATCCTGCAATGTCTTGATTTGGTCTGTCATCGACCGGAATTCCCTGGTGGTGGAGAACGGGTTAGCTGAGGATCATGATAACATACTGCAGGGAAAGAAGCCGAAAATGATGATCGACATACTCGGAATCTTTAAAGTTATTATTGCAGCAGTTTGGGGCATATCGACCTATGGAGATGGTAAGTCGCGTTTGCCATGTGTATCACGGAGCTACAGCGCTAAGCTGACTGACATTCGAGGTTAAGGTGTCCACAGCGTTGGCAGGGGACCTGGCCATTGCATTTGATCTTCCGCCTCTTGCATTCGTTACTAAACGGGAAATACAGAATTAATCAGCTAACAGATAAGAGGAAACATGCTAAGCCAGTGACAAGAGGGTTCAACATGGGGGGATGGCAGGCGAGCCGGATCATACCATGCGATGGAGATGTAGCGATTCCGCTTGGAACGAGTATGAGTTCCGTTGGCCGGTTCCGCTTTCCTCTTCGCGGTATCAGCGTCCGGCGTGGCATTCTGGTCGCCAGAATCTGGCTGGGGTGGTGCCATATCAACCTGCGGCGACTCCGACGACATTTTGGATGGAAATCAAGTTGGGACGATTGGTTGTTGGCGCGAAAGAGAGCAGCGACCGGTGCGGAGGGATTCCTTTCGTCTGCTCGATGGCGCGCGGGGTTTCCGTTTCCCCAGATGGCCGGACCGGGAAGGGATCGCCGACGAGGAGATTCACGTCCGGCGCTTTAATTCTTATAAGCTAATGGAAAAGACTCCTAGCAGAAAGTGGGCAAGTACAATGTAGCTGATCCTGATGGTGGTCAAATGACAGGTCGCTTGTTTGCCGTCTAATTTCCAATTGGGTTGTGAAGGTAAAAAGACCGAGCGAGTTCTGTCCATGGTCTATCTTCAGCACCAGCTGACATGGCATCCTTATCAGCCCTTGCTTGTATTGTTGACAAATCCACTAGTTATGGCTTTCCCTGATAAACTATAGGTAAATCTATCCTAAGAGATTTAGTAGATGAGGTCAGAAGTAAAATATCAATTCAAGAAGAATGAAGAGCTACCCAAGGGAGAGGTTCACCGGCAACTGGTCAATCCCAGTCGGGGCGGAAATTTCCCGATCTGCACCTTGTCAAACCGCACGTGCAGCAGCAATCCAAGCAGCACTGAACGGTGGATACGGAGCTTCCCCAACCCACTTCTCTGGATGACTGAACACTTGGTCTTCTGAATGAAGCTCCAACAATGTCTGCCCAACAATAACCTCAGGGTTTGGCACCGTCTGTCGTCCGTCACCCTCCGGTTCTCTTCAAACCAACTACGCCAACAACGCTGCTTTACCTCCACGACGTCCCGTCCATATCGCCCCCTAGATACCCTCAAGGATGTCGACATAGACGACTTCCGCAAGAACTACTTCACTCCGGAACGTCCTACAATCCTCCCTCGGGGTTCCTTTCGCGATTTTCCTGCCTTTGAGCGTTGGTTCCAGCCTGCTCCGACCGATCCCAATGTGTCTCAGTTGAACACAACATACCTCGCCCAACATGGGGCCGACGCCTTCGTTCCGCTGGAACTCACACAGCCATCCTCCGACAGTACCGATGAAGCAGGAGCAGACGGGCTCACCTTCCAACAATTTCACGCGCCGCTGAGTCTGTTCCTTGACTGGATTCGTACAGCAGAGACGCTCGAGACACAGTCCGCAAGGTTGTATCTAGCGCAGTGCCAGCTCCTCGACCTCCCGCAGGTACTCCGTGATGACTTTCCAACACCTGAATTAGTAGCGCAGGCTGGAAAAGGTGACGTTTACGACACTAACGTTTGGATCGGACACCCGCCGACGTATACGCCTCTCCATCGGGACCCGAATCCCAACCTCTTCGTTCAGCTCGCGGGACAAAAGGTAGTGAGGCTATTATCGCCTGGTGATGGACAGAAGGTATTCGGGGCCGTGAGACGGCAGCTTGGACGGACCGCAGGTCGCGAGGCGGCTGCGATTCGAGGAGACGAAATGATGCAGGGTCAAGAAAGAACACTATTGGAGCAGGCTGTCTGGGACGAGGTGAAAGCTGTGCCGGGGCTAGATGGGTATGAAGCACATCTCGAAGCGGGGGATGGGATGTTCATTCCCCGGGGATGGTGGCATAGTATCAAGGGCGTAGGAACAGGGGTGACGGCATCGGTAAGTTGGCTTAAGTTGCGCCTATGACTCTATCTTACTTATCTGTCTGACAGGTGAACTGGTGGTTCCGCTGATCCTCAGCGTGTGATGGATACCCAAGTAGACTTGTAGATATGGTAATGCCCGGAGCCAGGATACAAGCTACACTAAGACAACAAGACAAAAAGAAAAGTAAATTAAATACCCAGTATAAGCCCAATAATATGCATTAAACAAAACCCAATCTACATACTCCAATAAAAACAATCTAGTGGGCAATCCGTACCCCCAAAACAGACCCAACGTTCTAGAATCCTCTTTTCGACTCCGCCCGCCTTCACTCCACATCCCAAGATTTCGCCAACGACATCATCGCCCTTTCTCTCTTTCTCTTAATCAACCAAATCCCACCTCACCACACACCACAACCAACCCACCAACACAAAAAGAAAAAGAAAAAGAAAAAGAATATAATGTACATGTCCTCCACCCTCACCCGCGCCTCACTCATCAACCTCCTCCTCACAACGACCGCCCGCATCGCACCCGCATCCGCAACACTCACAACAACAACAAGCTCATACCACACACCACGACACTTCCTCCACCAAGCAACTCTCCCTCTCCACCCTCACTGCTCAGCAATCCACCTCTACAACAACACCAATAAATACCCAAAGGAGCAAAGCTCTTACTACTCCACAATGAGCACACCCAACGAGCAACAACAAAGAGATGAGGAAAACAAGCCCATCCTCGCCCTCCCAGACGCCGAATCAGCCACGAAACTCGATGTTAGCGGGGACGGATCAGCAGTTGCATTGGATCACTTGGGTCCTGTGGTGGTGAATCAGGATGGGACGTTATCGCGCATCTCGAATTGGGAGGCTATGACGGAGATTGAAAAGAAGAATACGTTGAGGGTGTTGGGGAAGAGGAATAAGATGCGGTTGGAGGCGTTGAAGAGGGAGAGGGGGGAGGGGAATTAATCACCTCAAGATCAAGTTCGTGTCGTTTTCGTTGATTGTGTTGAGTGGGGTGGGGTGGGGTGGTAGTGGTGGATGATAGAGATGATAAGAGGGGTGTATTATATTATGTTGGAAGGGGGAGGGATATACTCGCGTCTTGTATGATATCTTATGGGGTTGGACTATGGTTTAGCGATTTCATTGTTTATCTGCAATCGAAGCTGTCTTTGGTATCATCTGCTAAGGAAAGAAAGGAAAAATGAACTTCTATCCAAATAGCCTCCCAAATTTTCTCTATACGTTGTCTCATGATGCTGGTCTAACCGAAAACCATATCGTTGAATCTCGTAAATGCGTTACTGTGTGCGATCGTTAGCTTTATGACCTCCCTCAGTATATCAGGCAGACCTACCTTGATGGTTCCTCAACATAATTCCTAGTATAAACTTCCACTTCTTCTACACCAGTGACTATATCAACTTCCTTAGGACTCAGGAACTTTGTACGATGCCAGAGTTTCCATCCCACGTAGATAACAGGGAACACTCCAATCATAGTATACGAGAAGAAGAAAGTCGGAATGTCCCAGTTCCCGGGTAAGAAGACAGTGTACCCGCCCACGAAGGTCATGACAAAAGTCGACACCAGGGCAATGTACGCGACATAGGGCTGGCCTCGGCTCTGATAGGGGAGGGATGCGCGAGGGACACCCTGTGCCATGAGGGCTTTTCTGAACCGGGTGTAGGTGAAGGTAATGACGGTAAAGTTGATCAACTGGGATGCAGTGACCTGATTGGTAGTGTGGTAAGTACTTGCAGATGAAGCGGAGGGTAAAAAGGGACTCACAAGATTTACAAACCAGTTCAGAACAATTGCCGAACCATTAGAGACCTGTAGGAAAGCCAACAGTGCAAATACGAACACAATCAAGACGCAGTATATTGGCACACCAGTTTTTGTACATTTCGTGAGAATGCGCGGCGCCTTGCCATCCAGGGCAAGACCGTACAGACTTCTGCTGGCGCAGTAGACGTAACTATTTCCGGCACTGAAAGCAGCGAGGAGAACCATGGCATTGACGATGTGTGGCAGAATGGGGATTTTCAGTCGATCCATGGCGACAACATACGGTGATGCAGCTGCACCAGGCAGGTCTTGCTCATATGCAGCAGCTAGGTCGGGATCATTGTAGGGAACCAAGATACCGATGCAAAGCACACCGAGAACAAAAAAGGTGGTGAGTCGATAGAAGATGCCATTGTACGCTTTGGGCAAGATTTTGCGGGGGTTGACTGCTTCGCCGGCAGCCATGGAGACGTAGTCAGGACCGGCGATCGTGAAACTGGCTTGGATGAGGCAAGCAAGGAACCCGAGCCATCGGCCTAGATCTCCGGTCTTGTAGTATTCGGCAAAAGCCCCGGGGTTCTTCCAGTAACGGAATCCAAAGCGATCGCCAAGAGGGTTGCCTCCGAGCATCACAATGAATGTGAAGAAGATCAGGCCCACACTAAGCAAGACCTTGCTCAAGGAAAGCCAGAATTCGGCTTCGCCATACCACTTCACTGCAAAGATGTTGAGTAGCCTGATACTTGTTAGCTTGCACTGCTCCAAGTTGTACACGAAGTATGCTTCAACCCAGAGCATAACATACCCGAAGAGCACAAGCACAATTACAATAATTGCGGCGACAGGGACTGCATCGCTCCAGTAAGTGATAATCAAGTTACACGCTGTAACTTCAAATGGCACCATCGCGGCTTGAAAGATGAAGAAGTTGTAACCGGCAGCAACGCCAAAGGCCTCGTCAACATATCGAGTTGCAAAGCGGATAAAGGGCGAGGAGATGGGCAAATATGTGACCATCTCAGCCAAGCCTAACATAGATCTTATCTTAGTGGAATGCTACTTCAAAGGGGACAAATTCGCGGGCCAATTTGTTGCGACGGAATCAGAGAGGCCATTGGGAAATCGGCGCTTTGGGACATGCAGACAAATCGCACAGGTCGCAAATGGCAGCTTTGATGTCGCTAGCGGCATGAAGAGAATTGGGAGGGCTTCAAGATCGCAGGGTAAGGGAATCCGTACAAACAGTTATACATAGAATGACAGCGGACCTATATCAACGAGGTATAAGATTCCATATATTTAGCAGCAATATGCATAAGGTAAGGTCAGACAATCCCGAAATTCTGCTGTCTCTAGGGTGAAGCACACGTCAGGAACAAGGAAGCAGTTGACACTGCTTGATCTACGCATAGTGCATGGGGTATCTGATGTTCACCAACATCCTTGTAGCTGCTGATGATTGGGCGAAAGCAGGTTCTTGTACTTTGTGCTTCCGATTCAAGAAACTTACCTATGAACGAGACCCTTTGAGACAGCTCATAAGATGAGAATTGCAGCACCGTGAGGAACAACGAAAGACAATGGAAGAGAACGGTAGGAGTAGGACTAACCAGATAATAAATGCGATGAAGAGACTGGCGGGACCACCTTCTATCAGTGCCTTACCAATCTGGACGTACAACACGGTCCCGACGGTGCCACCGATACCGATGAGCTGGATATGTCTGGGCTTCAGCTTGCGGTGCGTATGATCGTAGGCAAGCTTCTTGGAATCATCTTCGAGTACTTCTTCACTGTCACGAACGACAGCATCCTTCTCAGAGCGGTCCATGGCGGTTTCTTTACGCTCTTCGCCTAGTCCATGAGGGCTGATTGTGGGGGAATGCCTCCCGGTGTGTATGGCAGATGTAAAAGCCATACTGTGGCTAAAATTCACCGAGCCCCAGCAGTGGACAAGTTAGGTAGAGAAAAGCAAACCCAAAGACATTAGACGAAATATGAGGCACGAAGATAAGAGGAAGGGAAGTGAGTTACTTTGTAGAAAAAGAAAAAAAGAAGGCGGGCGAAGGGAAACCGCGAGGAAAAATGGTGGGCTAGCTAGACCGGTCAAGAACGGTTCTCGCCATGCGGATATCCCTCATCATGGGGCATTATTCGGCAGAAGACATTTTAGTCAATTATGGTCTAGGGATAACTCGTGCAAAGGGAATCAAGGAGACAAATCACAGTACGGAAGCCGACTTTACGGCTTCGGCGACTCCATTGGGAGCCCCCACAATGGCGGGCAGATACAGTTGTGCGTGGCGTTTGAGCAAAACATGGTGCTCGCTTTAACCTTGTCCTTGCTATTTCTACCCTACTTGATGGTATTAATCTAGACTAACCTTTACACTGCACTCTCTTATTGACTCGAATCCATAATGATTGATAAGAGAGCTGATAATCCTGCCACAGTCTATGATTGTGTACTAAATCACACTGTATACGAACTCACTTATCTGACCCTAGAGAACCTCCTGCATCGGGTATTATCTTGTAGATACAACACAGACAGATCGACCGTCCAGGTGTCCAATCAGCTTGACATACTATTTTCGTGTAACCCACGATCGGTGCCACTATTTGCCGTTGCATGAAAGCGATGGATATCCATGAATACAGAATAAAAGTGCCAGGCAGCCACATCTGCAAGGTAGATGGCAGAACCCAAGACAATTGTATGCCAGGAAGGCATACCCCCGGATTTTCAGGTCTTCAAACCTGACAGAGGAGGCAAAGTCAATGATAAGAGCCATCTAGGCTAAGACCAAATGTGGTAAAGCACATTAGTTGCGGCACCTCCGGATTGGTTCTCATGTATCAATGACTGCAGCCAGTCGCAGATAGTCAATAGCTGGTTGCAGCTGAGTAGTATACTACCGAGTCAAATGGCACGCACAGCACATAAATGCCACGGGTAGCAAGGGACCCAAGTATGAGGGGCAGAGGGAAAAGTTGAAGTTAAACCTCGGCCGGGGATGTCCCGCCCTAACTGTTTTGGGGAATTGCCGTGGCATTCAGCCGGGGAGTCACATGAGCGACTCCAGACTGTCAGTTGACAAGTCTGGCATGAACATTGGTGGCAGAAAGGCTTTTGTGAAACTGCAGGTTAAACCAGTTCTTAAAACCGTGCATTGCAGACCATGAGACAGTTCAACTCAGCTGCAACTAACCAACGAGGTAGTAGCAGCTAGGGCACCATAGGTCTGGCGCGATCTAGGCCGTACATGATACTAATCCCAGACTGACTAGAATGACAATACTAAGTAATCCTTGTTCCAACAAGCGCCCCTGTAATCGCCCCTTGATATAGCAACTGTAGCCTATGAGTCTCTGTTCCTGCCTTCCCTGTGGCGACTTGTATCCGTGTGATTTCAAGACCCAAAAGGAAATCGGATTCAACGGACATGATGCTAATTCTAGGCAATCTTCCCATTTAGTTCCGAACCTCGTAGTTTCAACAAATAAGGAAAGCAGTTAACGCCATGACGCCAGGCAAGAAAGAACCCTTGATGAAAACAAACGTCACAGTCGATTCATGCGATGATATATTGTGTCATTGATCATGCTCGCATCTCAGTTTGGGATTTTTTGTCCGAGACCTTCGTGCCATCTCCATGTTGAGTAGGCGGTGCCTTCCCTAGCCAGGCTGGAGGGAAAAAGCCATCATTGTCTTCGTAGTGGAGGTAATGCGACAGATCGGATTCCTCTGAGATCGATCTGCGGTCTCTTTCTGCATCATTGCCATGAGAGTCCCGAGCAAGGGATGGGGTCTGGATGGTTCTTGGCTGACTACTTCGTTGTGTGGACATTTTGTGCGCTATCTGGAAGTTTCTCGTGATAAATGCGATGACAAGGAGGATCAGAATGGATCATCCAGTTCTGTATACACAAGATGCAATGGTTTTGCAACACATATAGACAAAGATGGATGTCGCGTGTGATGCTTGCTTATATGATAGATACTACAGTTAGCCATCAGGCGTCTTTGACGTCAGAAGTGGTGCCAATCACGGGGCTTCCAGAGTAGGCAATCCTCTACAGATGCGGAAAGGGGGCTCAGTTGCCAACCAAACTGTTGCGATCACGTTTCTTACAGATCACTGACTTCCTGCATGCATAATTCAGAGCAACCACTGAGTCTGGCCCTAGACAGTAGGCGAATCTTAATCTACCTAAGTTCAGGGGCAGTGGATACTCCAGAAGATATCAAGGAGTCGATGTCTCAAGAGCCAATGAAACTAATTGTAAAGGACACTTACTACACATCCGAGAAGACGAGATGGGGACTGACGATAACATCACCGAGCCGCGGACGGAAGCTGCCAAACCTCGACCCACGGTTTCGCCGCTCCGAGCTCTCCCCGCCTGCCCCGCGCCTGTTTAACCGGCAACGAACCTCGTCTTTCCACAGCGTCTGCTGCAAAACAACAGCTTCCCAGCGAGAAACCCACTGAAGAAAACTACCTGCACAATCAAAGATCGTCACAATGGTCGAGCACGAGCCTGAGCCGAAGCGCTTCTCTCCCAAGATCCCTGTCCAGCTTGATCCCCCGAAATATGACCCCATAACCGTTGAGGAGCTGTCCAAATGCGATGGTGAGTTTTTCGCACTGCACCTCCAAGGATTTGACAAATCTGTTAGAATCTCATATACTGACAAATTACAATTTCCAGGTACCGATCCTAACCGTCCCACCTTGGTTGCGATCAAGGGAATCGTTTTCGATGTGACTCGGAATCAGGCATACAGTCCTAGTGGACAGTACCACGGTAAGCTATTCTTCCTTGAATACATCGCCTATGGCTGTGCTTCATGACTGTGAACGGGTGTACTGACGTATATTCACCATTACCAGTCTTTGCTGGAAAGGACCCCTCCCGCGCCCTTGCCTCTTCGTCGCTCAAAGCCGAGGACTGCAAACCCGATTGGTATGATCTGGAGGACAAGGAGAAGACCGTCCTGGATGAATGGTTCACATTCTTCAGCAAACGCTACAACATCGTGGGAAAGGTGAAGGATGCTACAAACTACTAAAGGGAGATGGTTAGCAGCGATCTGAGATAATCAACCTTTCTCTAATGCAAGAACTATACCCGTGGACTCTACTTTTACGCGACCTACTTTCAATGGTCGATGACACATGCGTTGAATAATACAGCGCCTGAAACCAAGAAATGAGCTTGTTGACAGATATCATTAGCTATTTACTCCATATATAACCCGCATTGACTTTTATCTATGTACCTGGCCTTAAGCCTTTCCCTTCCGAGATCTTCGCTGCATTCGCTTCTTCGCGATGATACGATTCCGCTTTGCAAGCTTATTCTGTTCCTCATCATCATCCTCATTTGCGCCCTTGTCATTGTTGTCAGAGCGCTTTCTCTTCTTCCCATTGGGACCTCCCTTGTTATTCTTGCCCTCGTCCTTATCAGCCGAACCTTCACCATCTTGCTTGCCCTTCTTGAAGGTACGTGCCTTGGCCTGCTGTTCCTGCCGGCGCTTGACAACCTGGGCGTTCTCAATGGCGAACTCGACGATCAAACGCTTCTTCTTTTCCTTGTTGTCCTCCGAGCCAGTCGCAGGTGCCTCAACAGCGTGGCCATTGAGCCATCTGAGAGCCATTAGAGCATGGCGGTGGGTATAGTACTCAATGAAACCGTAACCTCTGCTTCTTCCCGCGGCCTTTTCCTCACCGACCTTGTGACCATCCCGAGTTTCGAAAACGATCTTCGCTTGTCTCACAACACCAACACCCTTCTTCTTCCGCAACTGCTCCGCCTCTCTCATGATGTCGGCCGCGCGGTTCAATTCATCCTTAGACAGAGGCTGCCGCAGGCCCTTCTTCGCATCTTCTGCAAATCCGGCGATTGCTTGACGAGCGAGCTGTTTCAGATCTTTTGTGGTGACGTGACGGGGTATATTACGGACCGACAAACGCGTCAAACTGAGATGGAGGGCCGGGTTCTTCTTGATGAAATTCTGTCGTTGCTTGTAGCTGTCTTCTCTCATCTTGATCTCCGATGGCGAAAGCTTCTTGTAAAGGGCGGAGTTCGTTGGGATGGTACCCTCAGAAAGCAGGTAGAGGCGGCGCTTGTCCGTATCGCGGACGAGTCGGCGAGACACTCCCTCTTCCTCTAGCTGTGAAGCGCGAGATTTGCTCACTGCGCGGGCGACTTGTAGTACGCGACCCTCCAAGGTATACCGTCCGGTGGGGTCGGCGTTTTCGTTCTGTAGAATGGAATGCTTGTAGGCGGTAGAGGCTTTCTTTGACTTATCTTTCTCTGCGACAAGGGGATCTTGTTGTTTAGGGGCGTCGCGCACACAGGCTGCTGCATCGTCGGGCTTCCAGAAGCAAGCAAAACCAGTACCGCGGGGACGCTCGGTCTCGTGGTCGACGACGATTCGGGCATAGCGAAGGGGACCGAATTGGGTGAAGTGTTCGTAGAGCATATCATCGTCGCAGGTGAACGGAAGGTTTCTGATGAAGATAGTCGAAGCGTTCCTTTCGTCTTCCTTCTCTCCCTCATCCTCTTCCTCGTCCTCGTCCTCCTCGGCATCCTCATCCTCATCAACGTCGCTATCGTCTTCCATGTCGTCGTCCTCGTCAGAATGGGCTTCTTCATCAATGCCAACTTCTGCTTCGATGGCATCCTCCATGTCGGCATCTTCTGGCTCCTCCTTTACATCCTTTTCTTCTTCCTCGTTGTCCTTTTGTAGATCCTCCCAGACGTTCTTCTCGACAGCCCAATCGACAGCGAGTGTTCTTCCGTCCACCTCCTTTCCGTTCACTGCCTGCAAGGCCTTCTCGGCGTTCTTCTTTCCGCGCAAAACAACGAAACCGAAACCAGCCAATTGGCTTCCCTTCTTGGGAAGGGTAACATATTTGACCTTGCCAAAACTGCGGAAGAGAACCGCCAAATCTTCGGGTTCCTTGATGCTCCACGGCAAGTTTCGAACAATCAGCTTAGGCTGAGCGGCCGCCCTCTGATCCTCTCTCTTCTTCTTCTGTTCAAGAGCTTCAGCCGAAGGCTTGCTCCTTCCAAGGTTCTCATCAACAACACGGTGACGCGGTTGGGCGTATTCAACCTTGATCTTCTTGCCCTCGAAAACAGAGCCATTGAACTCCTCCAGCGCGGCCTTTGCGTCTTCGAGATCCGCAAACGTCACGAAACCGTATCCCTTCGATTGTTTCGTCTCAGGGTCTGTGACAGCAACGGCATGCTTGATAACGTAGGATTGCGAGAAATATTCCGTCAGGCTCTCGGTCGTCGTAGAGGCGGGAAGCGATCGGATGAAAAGCTCCCTCCTAGGCTGGTTGGAGGCCGGTGTCTCCTGTGCTGGTTTCTCGGTTTGTATGTCCATGTTGCTATCAGGGGCAGCGCTACCCTTGATCTCGCTGGCTTCGGGGGAACTCATCTTGGACTCGTTCCTCTCAGCCTTGATTGGTGTTTTTGAGTAACTTTTTTTTCTGTCGCAGAATCAGCGGCAGAAAAATCCCGATCCCGTTTTTTGACTTTTGGAGGCAAAAGCGGGTCTGCGGGCGGTGAGAAGGGATGGGTCTCCACCGTGCTCCATCTACTTTCATGTTTACATATCAGTCTAGATCTTCCTCTTGCTATTTGTCTGCTTTCAATACGTTTGTCTGCTTTCATGCATTATATAGCTGTTTTTTTGCAGACAGAAGACATCCTTCGCATATGCAGAACAAGGTTGGTGATACTCAATGGCATATACCATACTGAACTGGATGGTGCTATGCTAAACCTGACGGAAGCGTATGCTTTCCTAGTGTTTAAATGACGGAGTCAGAGACTCTTTATAAATCAAGACTTTGTAATTCTTCTGCCTACTATCGCTAATCCTCTTCTCATGGCAAATATCTACATGATGAATGTTAGTCACATGATGTTCTTACCCACGTGACCTACATCATCACCACCAATCGGGAACCCTTGTATGGCCCACCTATTACTGCCAAGGATTGGTGTAAATCGAAGTGATATGACAACATCCAGGGTCCCGTTCGCTTATATTTTGCGAAACACTTGATGCAGTAGCTTTCTATCTCCTCCGAACCAATAGCGGATGATATTGGGGGCAAAGAAAGCAGCATGGACCCAGTAGCACGTTCCGAATCTGCTACGCCTCGAACATCTGGTGCCTCGACGCCGCAGCCATCATCTAAGGTCCAACAGCCTAAGCCACAAGCACTCCCCAGCAGGTCTGGCCCATCTGCCATCCTCGTGTCAACGCGACAAAAAGGCAATCCGATATTGAATCATATCAAACTACTGCCGTGGGAATATGCAGACATACCGGCCGATTATGTGGTCGGAAACACCACCTGTGCTTTATTTCTTTCCTTGAAGTATCACCGCTTACATCCCGAATATATCTACTCGCGAATTCGCCTCATAGCAGGAAAATATCTGTTACGGATTATCCTGGTTATTGTGGATATTCCGAACCATGAGGAAAGCTTGAAGGAGCTTTCGAAGACATCCATCGTCAACAACATGACGTTGATCCTTTGCTGGTCTGCACCTGAAGCTGCACACTACCTTGAACTGTTCAAGTCTTCTGAAAACTCTCAACCCACTGCTATTCGCACGCAACAAGCCCAGTCATATAAAGAATCTCTTGTTGAGTTCGTCACAACACCCCGGAGCATTAATAAATCAGATGCAGCTAGCTTGATATCTACGTTCGGAAGCCTGCAGAACGCAGTCAATGCGCAACCTGAGCAGATTAGTGCAGTACCTGGATGGGGAGAGAAGAAGGTCAAGCAGTGGTGTAGTACAGTAAGGGAAGGCTTTAGGGTGGAGTCGACGAAGAGGAAAACTCGCGGAGGAATCGCTGGAAGTCATGCAACTGGCGAGGTTGAGGGCCAAGAAGACAAGCCTTCCAAACCTTCAGGAACAAATGAAGACACTGCCGCGGAAACAATCCTAGCAGATGCAGAGGATGGTCGCCTAGAAACACGGAGACAAGCCGTCGAAGAGCGTCGAATGCAGGAGTCGAGTCAGCAGGAGGAGGGGATGAGTGAGGGCATTATGGCGGCTCTGGCGAAGTATCGAGAGGACGGTGGTTGATCCCTTATCAGGTGGACTCTTTTATAATACGGAGACTGGTATAATAAAGAAAACATTGCCTTGCATTTAAAACAACTTGTTCCAGCCTGCAGTCCAGATATCACGTGGAAATGGAGCCAATAACACAACCTCCCATATACGATTTGGGCGTTATATTACTTTCTCGTATTCCGGAGAGTATACAGTGGGATGGCACAAGCTGCACGTGACTTATTGTGTATGGGGTGGGGGTTTACATGGCTTAATATTTTCCTGAGCCAACCATTTTCTCTATTGCTGACTCGCTTAGAGTTACAATATAGGTAGGGCTGGTCAGCTTAGCGGGAAGTAGTAGAAGATGACAGAAGCTTAGCCAAGCTGCATCGGCCATTGGCGCACTAGACACCCATACCGTCAATAGTAGGCCACTAGGGCACTGATCGTGGATTACGTGTGTTCAGACCATCAAATCAGAAGGTCCCCAGAGCTAATCAACCTTACTTACTTTGTAATTATAGTAGGAGTCAAATTACCCCGTGGGGAAGAGGGGATCCAGAATGAATTAAGGCAGGTGGAGTAGCAATGCTTGTTTCGTGGGTGCCTGGGCCCTTCCCAATAGACACTGAGGATGGATACAATGTATCTCAAGCTTCTTTGGTAACAATATTCCTATGCTTCTTCTCTATAGCCCATGTTAACTTTGGAGATAGAGTATAAACCATACTTTGAGTGCCTTCTAGACTGTTCTGTTTCAGTGGTTACAGAGAGAAAGAGAGAGACAAAGTGAAAGAAGCGGCGGTGACCCAACAGCTGAGTCAGCCGGAAGATCATCACGTGGGGGGACACGAGGGTGGGGAAGCAAAGCCCAAAGGGGAAATCGGGCTGACGGCGAACATTGGAGTTTCGCCATTCTGTGTCAGTCCAACGACATTCTCTGCTATGCGCCATCTCTTGCGGCCACGGGCTTAGTTTCTGAAGCTTTTGCCCTATCGATTCTCATCGGGCTCCTCGGATAGCTCCACTGCCCAAAAAAAAGCTGCAGCAAGTAGATACAGACAGACGTCCTGTTTGGTCTTCCCCACCCTTCGGCTCTTGTCCCCAGTCCCCAATTCCCGGGCCTGACCGGTACTACGCGTTTGCCGGGCCAGGCCAAATCATGAGAGAATGGGGGAGGAGGGTAACCCCGAGCCCGGAACTACCTCTAATACATCAGATATTAAGTTTCAGGATGTGAATGTGGCCGCTGCTCCAGGTCCTGCGCCTGCTCGTCGTCATCCCAATGATCAGAACAATCAACATGCAGAAGACCGCTTGGCTCCTTCGAGAAACCGGCCTGCCAGACCCGCTCAGCAGTCCAGCTCCAGGAACTTCGAGTTTGTCCTAGTCACGGATCATGAGTCCAAGCGCCAGGTCCGCCGCCATGCCATGCGCCAGTACATGCATCAGCGGCGCTTGGACAGCATCGCGCGACTGGGGACAGCTCGTATACCTGGCGGTGGTTGGACCCCTCGCTCTCCATCTGACTCCCAGGTACCCGAGACCTCCTCGTCGCTGGCGGAGGAAATCCCAGATGATCCTGCTATCAAATCCGAAAAGGGTTCGCCGAGTAGCGAAGAGGACCATCCACCACCTGAAAAGGCAAAGGGACCTTCGCGATTGCTCATCCCCAAATTACACAAGGTCAAACGTGAGGAGGGAGTACCTCATCCCTCACTGGCTGTTCAGAAGCCTACAGTTAAAGCCTTAGACCCCCTCGTTACTCCTGGAGAAGGTTCCGTTCGAGACCCGTTTAGCTGCTATCCAATTCCGGTTAGTCATGCAGATCATGAATTGATCCAACATTGTACGTTATATTGCGCCGCAGATGTCATCTTTAAACCTAAGACGTTGCATGCGCACTTCAAACCCCTGCATATCACTTTACTTCCGACTGGAGCTTACACGTATGTTAGTTGTGGTCACGTACCCATCTATGATGTATAAGTTTGCCGACTCGATCGCGAACAACCCCATGATGGAGATATTCCGGCAGTTTGCTTTGCACGATGGCCTGCCGTTCCAGGCCATGCTCGCCATTGCATCGAAGCACCGTGCAGGTGTGGAAGGGAAAACTGAATCCGTCCAAAGCTTGACCCATAAGATGCGAGCGCTACGGTTGATGAACGAGCGCATTCAAGCAGACTCCACTGGGCAGTATGACGGAACTATCTACGCCGTTGCCACAATGGCTGTCATCGAGGTACTGTGGCTCGTTACGATTTATTATTCAAGGATTAAGCTGACACCATGGAGAAATGGTCCAAGGATGCGTCCATAGAACGGATGCATTTTAGAGGATTGGCATCGATGATTAGGAGTCGTGGAGGAATGCAAGGCATGCGGATTTCTAGCCCCTTCCTGGAGAAGGTGCTGTATTGGTAAGTTTGTGTGGCTGTCTGTATCAAAGGATATTTGTTAACGGTTTCCAGGGTGGATTTCAGTTGCGCCTCAAAGGCCATTGTCAGCACTTCTCTACCCTGGACCGGTGCTGTCTCGGCTACTCCTCCTCTCGACTTCCTGGACCCGACAATTCACCTTGCAGTACCCCATGACTCGACTACAGCAGAAGACTCGGAGAGCCTCTGCGAAACCTTTCGTGCCTGTGAAGACTTTTTACGATTCTTCCGTCGTCTTCGCGAACTAGAACGCTGTGCCCTAGATGCTCCTTATACTCTCATACCCGATGCCCCGCCCAAGCGCATCAACTATTTCACACCCGGCACGCAGCTCTACACGATTCTCACGATGCTCCCTGACTACGATCATGGAATTCGAGATATTCGCTTCATCGACGAATACACCTGCATGGCTTGTCTCTTCTTCCTGGCCATCGCTCTTCATGACTGCTACCTAAACTCGACCTCCCTCGACCCCTACATGGAATGGCTAAGTATTGAAATCAGAAGCATGAATCCATTCACCAACCCCAGCATCACATCTGTCCTCTGGCTCTTCCTCAACAACGGCGGCTACCCGCCAAATCATCGCGGCGACACTGGCGCCCGGTGCTGGATCGTTTCCCGCATGGTCCGAGTCGCCAAGCGCCTCGAATGGAAACGTCACGGCACAATTTGGGACCGTCTCCGCCAAGTCCTCATCGACTTCATCGTCACCCAACAAGAGTGCGCACTCGGATGCGACCAAATCGACGCCGATACGCTGGCCGCCCGCCAACGTAAACGTCTCCTTCATGTCCAGGAAGACGCCTCCCCTTCTTCATCCTCATCATCACCAGACTACTTCTGGAACGAGGCCCAGATGCGTGAAGATATCCTCAACTTTAGTTTATCCTCCATTACGACCACAGATGTGGGTGACGATACTACAAATATACCTGTTTTTACCTAAGTAATATTTCTATTTTTTTTTCTTCTCCTTTCGCCAATCTTTATGCCTTACAGCGTTTATGTATGCTGTTTATTCACATCGCATCAACTTCATATTCAGTTATTACTGGGCGTTGAGTTCACGAAAGAGGGAAACCAGGATACTACTACTGGACGGATATCAAATGGCGCAGACGGGAACTGGGATTGGCTTAACGCTTTTAACGAGACAAAGACGACAGACGAATGAGTGAATGATTGGGAATAATGAAGACGGATGGTGTTTGGGCGTTTCACACGGCAAACGAAAATGGAATGAAATGATGGGATGGGATTGGACTGGGTATAATATGGCCTTTTCAACAGGGCTGAACCTCTATTCGTTTTTGGATGATGGGTGGGTAGTAATGAGGGGTAGATTGTGAGGAAGACTTTCTATTACATTAATCTAGTTGATTGCAGATCTTTGATGGTATATGTAGTGCAAGGAGGGGATGACAGAATAGATCGAGTTCCCAAATGCGCTTCAATGTTACCAGTATCATGTAAGATGATGCAGTTGTGTCACTTTGTACGATGCAATCGTAAAGTATCTATCTCTCGCTGAGACTATCATACACAGCATAAAAATGAAAAAGTGGAAAAATCAACATAAAACCATCAACCAGTGGGTATTTGTATTACGTCCCTAAACCACAGGAAAAAAAGAACAAGAACTCTTGACGACAAATAAAATAAATGGAAGGGGGCATCAAGGCAAACAAAGCATGCAATCGGCCAGCAACATCATCATCATCATCTAGATAAATAAATTGAGCAAGATAGGCAATGACAAGCAGCAGCATAGAGCATAGTATAAAGCAACATAATGATCATCGTGCACGCCGTTATTGACAGATCAGGTGGGGTGTGATGTGTGATGTGGGGTAGAGTTCGATGCAAAGTAAAAATGGGAATAGAAAAGGGAGAAAAATCCACAATCACTACCAATCAAGATCAATGGTATCAAACGCAAAGACAAGATGAGCACCTGCTGAAAATTGAAAACATATAGAACGGATAGGCTTGGTAGAACTTTTTTTCCCCCAATGCGAACTGAACTGTACTTCTTTGCTGGTTCGTTTCACGTGTTTCTAGCTGGTAATGTCTTGATGCTCCTCGACATCAGCATCTCAGCGTGTCCGTATCCACATCCATGATATCATTAGTAAAAGAAAGAAACGCAAAGTCAAAGACGTTAAAGTGTGTCTAGGTCGGTTTATCACATCCGATCCGGCCGAGTAACGCTTTATGATCGCTCTGGTCGCCAAGACGAACACGGCCGCGTCCACGAGGCCGTACATTCGAAGACCCATTGGCACGGCGCCAGTCCGCACTAGAGCCATCGGTCGGGACAGCTGTGCCATTGGGGCCATCCTTACCCGAAACGTCTTCTTCCTCCTCTTCGTCGTCGCTGCGAGGCTCCTCGGCATTTCCGGTGCGGAGGACCCCGACGGCGACTCGGATGACCATGGTGAACCAGATAAGCGAGAGGGCCTGCAGCGCCAAAAGGCAGGAAAGGAAGATCCATTTGACGGTGCGGTTCATGCAAATTGGGCCGCTGATATCCTGGAAGGGATAAAGCAGGTATCGCCAGCGGTTGGGGTATGCGTCGGTGGAAGTCATCTCCGAAGTGGTACCGGAGTAGCAGCCGTACGCCATCCTGGCCGGGACGTCCTTGTAGATGGA